TACTAACTTACTTCCAACATAAACCAATCCATGAAGATTTGCATAGCATTCCTTCACAGCAAAGATCACAACAGTGACACTGGAGTTGCAAAACACTTTACAATGCCTCTATGCAATAATTGGCTCGATCTGCCCTCTAGGCATGATGAATCCTCTTTCTTTTATCAATTTATTCTTCACCAAAGTCCTATCATGAAGTCTCTATGCTTCTTTGCTTATGAACTTCTTATGATCAAAGACTCCAAGAGTTGAACTTGCCAAAGCTTTGTAATCCATGATTCTTGAAATCCAGTGAAATATCAATACTTCTATCACTCTCAAACCTTCTAAAATGGTGAAGAAAAAAATTAATTGAAGGTTTTGGGGGTTTATAATGGCGAAAACCTTCAGAAAATTGAAAAATTGCTCAATTTTGTGATTCAGTAATTGTGGAACCTAGGCACCAGATTTGGACTCCAAGGCACCAAGTTCTCTGAATTCTGACACATAGGCACCAGATTTTTGGCGCCAAGACGCCAGTGCACAATTAAACACTGGTTTACCAAAGGTCAAAATACACGTCTTAACCTCCCATAAGTCATGAATTATATTGTTTTAAGTAGTAACAACACATGTGCGACTCTCAAACACACTCAAGTAAATACTCAAAAAAAAATTTAAACCAATTAAACTCAATTCATTCTAATAACTATGGTTTGTCTCTCTCAAAGAGCTTGGTTTAACACCGTCAACCCGATGTATCCACATCTTACTCAGGTTGACCCAAAATTAGGATTCGATTAGATATAGATCTATTTTCATCAAAGTAAGCTTTCAGCCTACATTCATTTACCTAGAAAATTTTATCATTTTCTGGATCCTTGATATCCACAGCATCACAAGGATAAAATTTTACCAAATGAATGGCTCCATCCACCTAGACTTTAGTTTTCCAGGAATTAATTTCAATTTTGTATTGTATAGTAAAGCCTCTTATCCAGGCTCTAAATTCTTTATTAGAATCTTCTGATCATGCCATAATTTTAACTTTTCCTTATATAGTAAAGACTCTTATCCAGGCTCTAAATTCTTTATTAAAATCTTCTGATCATGCCATAATTTTAACTTTTCCTTATAATTCTTTGCATTTTCATAATATTTATTTCTGATTTCCTCAAGCTTATTCAATTGTAATAGTCGTCTCTCACCAGCATTTTTCAAATTAAAATTAAATTCTTTTATAGCCCAATAAACTTTATGCTCCAGTTCTGCTGGTAAGTGACAAACCTTCCCAAATATGAGTTTATATGGGGTCAATCCTATAGGAGTTTGTATGTTGTCCTATAAGCCCATAATGCTCCATCTAGTCTATCAGACCAATCCACTCTATTAGATTTATAGTTTTCTCCAAAATTCTTTTAATTTCTCGATTGTATAGTTTTGCTAGATCACTGATCTGAGGATGATAAATAGTGTCAATTCTATGTCTAATACCATAATTTTTAACTAATGTTTCAATATTATTATTTCTAAAATGATTTCCCCCATTTGTAATTATTACTCTCAGCATCCCAAATTTACTAAAAATATTTTTCTTTAAAAAATTTGCAACACTTCAAGCATCACAGCGAGATAAAACTACAGCTTCTATCCATCTTGAAACATAGTCCACTGCAACTAAAATGTATATATTTTTGAAAGATGGTATGAATGGTCCCATAAAGTCTAAACCCCAAACGTAAAAAATTTCAACCTCTAGAGTAATATTGAGGGGCATTTCATTTCTTTTATAAACATTGCCTACCTGCTGACATCAATTATATGTTTTCACATAAGTATTAACATCTCTAAATAATGTAGGCCAATAAATTTCATATTGTAAAATTTTATATGCATTTTTATCAATCCCAAAGTTTCCCCCAAAATCAAAATCATGATATTTCTAAATAATTTGTTGAGTTTCTTCCATAAGAACACATCTTCTAATAATTTGATCCTTACCGATTAGACTTTAGTCATTGTTGTCTACTGAGATTAGATGATTTTTACAAATCAAAAGATTATTCATCATTGTCGGTTTTAAGAAAATTTTACCTATTGGATATCTTGTGTTATTGTCAATTTTGAAAATATTTATCAGTCAGACATCATGCATCACTGTCAGTTTTTTCACTCAAGAGAAATCATCATTGATGGGATGATTTAATTCCCTGAGTATCAATCAGAGATTGATGATCCCTTGAATTAACTCCATAAGTTCTTTGAGTGTCAGCCAAACCCAGGTATGCACGTGTGATTAAAAAGAAAAATTATTTAGCATTTTGATGAATTTGACAAAAAAATACATTGGTTAGAAACACCTTCTCATTGTCAAGTTGAAAGCTAACTAGGATATCCGGCCTAACTCCCTTGACTGCACATTTTTTTGATTGCATAGTTATCAAAGTGTTTTTATAAATCTTCAAGGAAGGCTCAAGCTGAATGATACAGATTGTGTCTAGTCTCCCAGCTTTTTCCATGATCAGTTCTCTTCGATGGATGGCAATCAACTTGTTTTATTCTGAATGATATGAAAGAGTTGTATTCTTATATCAATATGTGATTATTTGCTAGTTCCAACAACTTGTGCAGCGTCTTCGGTCACTATAGGCCCAAAACATACCATAGTCATTCCTTCAACCCTTAAGTTAGGGTGGCATGAGCTATTGTGGTCTCCTGCTCCCATACTTCTAACATCTCCTTCTAGAAGAGTACGATGACAAGTGAAGGCTCTCATTCTGTACTTGTCAAATCTGCAAGAGGCTATGTGAGCTTTTCTAAGGCTATTGGGCACTGATAAATTATGCCACAATTATTCTCTTAAAATAAATGAAAGATGCAATCACTCATGGTGGAAATGAATTGAACTTTCTGAGGGTTGATCCCCTCAATATGCTAAAGAAGAGAAAATATAGTGATCCTTAGTAGACACACAGTTGAATCGAACAATCCTACATTTGGTCGGATCGTTTCTACCTTTATAGAACTCATATGCTAGTATTTTGAACATCTATGGGGCTTGAACATTGAGGTTTACTGAGAGAATACATTCTTTTGCTGTCGAGGTTCTTCAATACACATGATCTGATGTTGGTAGATCGGTGTCGACCTAACACTATCAAATTACTGGGTGTTTCCTTCTCTTTTCAGGGCTAAGGGAGATCTTTGACCGTTGGGCATAGTCCTTCCCCTCAGGGATGCTACTTTCTTCCCCAATCCAGTGCCTCTTACATGACATCCAACATTTGATCTTTTAACTCCTAGATTTGTTGGTTCACTAACTCTCCTGTGCACTCCATATTATCGGTGCCTCTGTTATGAATTTCTTCTCCATATGTTGCTCCTCTTCATGTCTATGACCTGATTCAAGTTGACCACATATTTTAGAATATTGAATCATGATTTGTCGGTGAATCACAACCCAAGGAATAGAGAGTAGGAAAGGAGAGAGGTGCAAGCAATATTGAATTGTAATATATCTTGTCTATCCTCCCTTATTTATAAAATGTTATCACTATTTATAGAGAAGAGGTTACAATGTAGTGATGTTACATTTTTATCTCTGTTTTAACTGAGACTGTACATGATATTTTATGTACTTAAATTTTATGAGCATATCGCTTGGTTGCTCTCTAGCTCGGCCGACTGGGCTAGTATGACTTCGACTCTATGAGGCCAATCTGGCCGGCTAGGTTGAGTCAATGTTGTCAGTTTACTGAGCTTGATTAACTTCAGGTTGGTAGGATTGATTTGGTCGGATATGCTTTGCCGATCGATTGATCTCTTATAGTTGTTGACTTTTGATCCATGGGTGGGAGATGATCTCTACAACACATCTATTCCACTTAGCAGTGCAAATTAAACTTTCTTTTTTATTTTGTTTTGAACACAACTACAAGTGGTTTTGTTGTCTTTTGTTTTGAGTACATGTACATGAGAGAGCCACTCTTCTTTTGCTTTATCATTTGCATTTTTGTTGTACTCTTTTACTTCTGATTAATGCAAACTGCACACCTTTCAACGATGAGGAGCTTCTCCGTTCACGGACGAGATGCTTCTGTCGGCAAAATGAGACTAGATTATTGGGCAGAGGGTGAATGTCCATAATCAGATAGATAGATCCTTCCATGACGAGAGGAGTTCGTGGGATGTTTACAAGACTCTATTGTACTACCAATATTTGGTCCCTGATGAGGAGCAGTGAAGGCGTTCATAGGACGGTTGAGGAACTGAATTCATTCTTTAGGTCAAATCTACTCAAAGGTAGGTTGATGCTTTTGCTACGTTTTTTTGTAATGGTAAGCTCATATACTCATCTATCTCGCTTTAGTTCGATGGATTCAACTCATGAAGTCGTTTTTTTTCTCATTTTCTTGATCGACCGCCTTCAACCTTAGCTCAGACGTAGTTGTTTGATTATATAAGTGGTCCTCCTAGTCTTCTATTAGTAGACCATCCTTTGGCATTCTTCCTCTATTTTAGACCCTTTGATCTCCTCGAGATCTAAAGTGACACATTTTTAATGTACAACTGTTATTTATAAATTAATTACTTGGTTTTCTTTTTTTTAATTACCCAATTTTTATATTCATGACAATCAAATCTTTTTTTATATGTGATAATCAATCATTCTTCTTCTATTTTAGACCCTTTGATCTCCTCGAGATCTACAGTGACACATTCTTAATGTACAACTGTTATTTATAAACTAATTACTTGGTCTTCTTTTTTTTAATTACCTAATTTTTATATTGATGACAATCAAATCTTTTTTTATATGTGATAATCAATTTTTTTTTGGGGAAAAAATTTGACGGCCACATGTGAATATATTGGTTGGGTAACTTTATTAGAATTAAAAATATGAATTAAAATTTTATAATAAATTTTATTTTTTATTGAGAATTTAAAAAAAATATATAAAATGATAACTCTTTTATAAATAGCAAATAAATAACTTGCGATCATCGCAACTGCACGCCGGCATTGAATTCGACTCGGCGGGAAAGTTGAAGAATTCCTCATGATTTCCATCCCTAAGGCAAAATGACTTCGGTTCCGATCTTCCTAAAGATCAATATTGTTCACTTGTCTTCTGCAATCGATCGATCTGGCCGTTGGAGAAGATAAAGGGGTCAGGTTTCGGCGATGTCGTCATTGGTTGGAGCCGGTGCTGGCCACGCCTACAGCACGGCCAGCGCTGAAGGTGATTGGATGATGCCGCCTCTCTCAGTGCTCCTCAAGCGGGAGCTGACGAGCGAGCAGATCGAGAAGCCCGACATCCTTTATGGTCTGGCCAGTCGGAGCAAGAAGGGCGAGGACTTGACTTTTCTCAAGACCGAGTGCCAGCGCGTGCCTGGGAATGGCGCCACCACCTTCTCCGTCTTCGCGGTACTCGTCTGCCATTCCTCTCCCAAACCCCACATTCTGTGTGCGCGCGCACGCACGCTCGCGCGTGCGTGCGGTTTTTTTTATTATTAATAATTACCATTTGGAGACTAATTAGAACAGATGAGCTGAAGTTTTAACTTAAAACTGGTTCATCTCCTACGAGGATGGAAAGGTAAAGATATGTTGCTGTAATAATCATTGATGATTAATTTCATAGATTCATTTGGAAAGTTATGGAGTAGGCACTTGGTTTTGGCGTTTGAGTGCCATACTGGTTGATCTGGGTTGCCGGGTTTTCTTCTTCACGTGTCTTTATCCGTTTGGTGTTTGAAAAAAAGGGTTCTTTTTTTGTATCATTACTAGTGAGGGTACAAACTTATTAATAATCCCTGGAGTTATCATGCTCTATTTGGGAATTTTCTTTCAGTGGCTGCTTTTAATGATAGTCAATATTATGTTGATAAACTTAACATACCCATGATTTTACAGTATAACTCATGATTTTATTCACGATGTTCTTCTAAAAGGATTATGCCTTTAAAACTCTCATTTATTAATTCATCAAAACACCATTTCTATCTCTTCTTGATTTGTAATTCTATTATCTTCACCTTTAATTCGTCAAATTTGATTAAGGTCTTTAGATGCCAAGTCTTTTATCTTAGTTTCTTTTTTTTTTTATAAATATACATTTCTTCTTTCATAGTAACTAGCGTACTATGCAAATATCAGAATCTGTTGCTTTTTTCTGTTTGCTTCTATCTTAATGTGACTCCTGGATTCTTTATAATTATTGCAAGTCTCAGTTGTATTTATTATTCTTCATTCATTGAAAACAAATCTGTTGTCTTTTATAACCATATTGTTTCTCCTCACTCTACCATAAGACTCCTTTTATGTGATGTTTTTCTTTTTGACTCGCTTAAAACTCCTATCCCTTATCAAGTTTTTTTCAGCTATTAGAGCTCAAATTGCATCTTTACAATCGTTTCAATAATTTCTCATTGTTCCCTTTTTCTAATTTGGTAGCTCTGTTTTGGAAAGTAACAAGGTATTCTTCTACTTATGTTATTATTATTATGAGATCGAATCAAACATAAATTATTCTTGCCTCTTGCAGATGTCCAATTACATACCCAACAATAACCTTTTCCTTAGGTATGCTACAAGTACTTATTTTCCCATTTAATTCACCATCAATAATTATCCTTTTTTCCTTAAGTAGATCTCTTTCAAAATTAATTTTTAAAATTAGCTTTAAGTTTAAATTAATGAGTTAGCTTAATTTAAATTAACAACATTTATAATATCATTCACAATAGTTAGCTTAATTTTGATCACCTTATCAATAACCTTTTGCTTTCATCTTTATCCCCTAATTTCCTTGTGACTTTCTTATTTCGGAGCACATTATGTGAGGGATTGCCGCTTTGGCTTGCTTATGATGTGATTTATTGCCGTTTGGCCTCAGCTCATCCCATAATTGGTTGAATCTCATACTTTCCAGAAGATCATCCATTGTACGATTCCCACGTAAGATTGCTAAAATGTGCAAGTCTCAATGGAACTTCATCAATTGCTCCAAATGATGCCTCATATTTTGGTCTAACCTCTTATGTTGCATAAGAACATTTTCTCCCTTTTCAATGTAAGTTTCACTTCATTTCTGCCCCATTTTCTCTTTGAGGCTTGCCATTCTCAAAATTTATTTAGAGCCACTTTTTATTAGGACTCTACCCTAGCAATAAATTAATGCTCTTTTCGGATCACCCACATTAGATTCAGGATATTGCATCATTATCAGGTTTCGCTTTGTTCATTTCTGAACTACTCATTATATTGGAGGAGCTTTAGCTTTGATACTAATTTTTATGACACAGTTCACTCCATGCAAAGGCATCACAAGCACACTTATCTGCAGAGTCTCAAATGCAACTCCATCATTACTCTAAAAGACGTCACATATTTGGTTTATACTCTCGTATTCTCAAATTATACCATCCTAAAAGCCTACCAGAAGTTTCTCCTTGACTGGGCCTCTGCCCTAGTGTTCACCCTTTGATCCTCTTCTATTTAGGATGTTAGAGTCATGTGAATTGCATGCTCTTCGAAGCAATGATGAGGCATGTACTTTGCTTGTTTGACTATGTTGTACAATGTAAGTCCACTTCTTTGCAGAGCGATGTGTAATTTTATGGGTTCGCTTCGCACTGTACTTATGCACATTCTCTTTTGTGCTTGTAACAATTCTGTTTATAACCATCTTTAATGCGTTCGGATTATTTTCAAAAGTTAGCGGTTATCTTTAATGCGTTCGGATTATTTTCAAAAGTTAGCAAGGTTCTTGCAAACGGGTGGCATTTTTTTTTTCTTCCACCATGTGTCCACTAATATTTCAGCATTCCCATAAGAAGTCCTTACATTCTATCTTGCAAATCAAATCTTAGTTTTACATTCAGTCAACCTTTCTCTAATTTTCACTATAATCAGATAAAGTTTTGACATACTACTTGTGAGCGAGCATTTTAAAACCAGATAACACAAGCTGAGTACATTTCTTTATTATTTCATAAACTCAGATACTGCTTTATGGTGAGCCTCTTCTATTTTCTCAAGGAATGGATGAAAGCAGGCAGTGGCAACATGAGAAACTGTCCACGGACACCATATTCCTGTCATTTTTCATCTTTTCATGGGTCATACACATATATGTAGATTAGCAGACGGTTCATCCATTTTATTTTTATTTTTTTTCATTTCCTCTTTGCAAAATATGCAGGTTTTAAAATGAATGAAAAAAAACTTCCCTGTTAATTGGCATCTTGATAAGCTGCTTTCTTCTCAAGCTTTTGCAATTAATCGTGTAATGTTAGCCATATCACATTGATCCACTTGTTATACTGCTTTAAGTAGGTTTAGATTGGAATCACCGTTTTATCTGCCTATGTTTTACACTCTCATGTAGCTCAATGTGTCCGGTATCTTGTTGCTCTTCATATAGGCAACTCTTAGGACTTGGTTGGCTAAGCCTATACCTTTTTTAAAAAGTCTTTATAGCATCAGCTTTATCGGAGAATATGGTTGTATACATTCAGGTTGGGTGTTTTGTTTCCATCCATAATGTTTTGTGTTTACAACCTAGCACATTTGGGTGTATGCATGTGTTTAAAAATTATGGTTGTTTTCAATTTGCTAATATGTCATGATTTTAGAGATTTTCATTGCATGTGAAGTCACCAATAAAGAACTCATTAAACCACATTGATGATGACATGTAAGATAGAATGATTCTAGTTATAGCCATGAACTAGTGATTCGCTTAGAGCTTCTTTGGGTTCAATTTTGTTTTTAATTTTTGTTTATGTTTTTCTCTTAGTTTTTAAAAACATTTTTGTTTGATAAGGACATGTTTTTTAACAACTTTTATTTCTGTTTTTATTTTCATTTTTACTTTTGTGTTTGAAAACATGTTTGGTTAGTATAATTTATACATGTTTTTGTTATTTTATATTTTAAAACAAAACACCTTGTTTTTAAAAATACTCAAAACACTTAAAATATATTCTGAGTGATTTTAAAAACAACAACCACAACTAAACGTATTTTAATATAAAACAATCATAAACAAAATAAAACAAAAACAAAAAATAGAAGTAATCTCAAACAGGGCTTAAGTTCTTAATTTTTTTTTAATTTTTTGTTTCGAAAAACAAATAAGCATGTTCTCGAAAACACTCATAATAACTTTTAGGTGTTTTGAGTATTTTCAAAAACAATAATATCTTAATGAAACATATTAAACATATTTAGTTTCATATAAAAAAAAAAACAAAAGAAAAAAAAATAAAAAATAGAAAATAAAAAATAAAAGTGCAAAATAAAAAAAAATAAAAAATAGAAAATAAAAAACAAAAGTGATCCCAAATGGCCGTTTAGCCACTGAACAATCAATAAAACAAAATAATAAAACATTGATTGATTACTTGGGAGCATTTTCACATTTGGATTTTGTTTTTTATTTATTATTTCTATTTTGTTTTGTTTCTATTTGATTTAAATTAAAACATGTTTGATTGAATTAGTTATTTTAAGAAACACTCAAAATATCTTTTAGGTATTTTGAATATTTAAGAATGCTCCCAAGAGACTTATAAAATTATACCAACCAAATATGTTTTCAAAAAAAAAAAAAAAAACATAAATAAAAGTGATGACAAACGACCCTAATCATCTTGTTTTCTTATTGCAAAGTGAGATATGTGTAAGCTATTACTCCACATCCTGTACCATTCTCAGAGCACATGCTTTCTAACCTCCTATTTTCTCATTCATTATTCCGCTGTCAAAATTGAAAATCATTAGCATTTTCCTTCTGCAGCTATTTGATGGTCACAATGGATCAGCTGCTGCAATATATGCTAAGGAGAACCTCTTAAACAACATTTTATGTGCCATTCCTTCAGGTCTTACTAAAGATGAGTGGTTAGCTGCTCTACCACGAGCTTTAGTTGCAGGTTTTGTTAAAACAGATAAAGATTTTCAAGATAAAGGTATGGCTATTAACTGTTTATTGAAAATTAGAACCTTTTTTTGAGCATCTTTTAGTACGAAAATGTTTTAAAATTTTCATTCAACTTTTTTGTCTTCTTGTTGATCAGTTCTTTGACTCTCGGGCATGTGCATGTTTCAATTATGCTGATAGATAATCTAAGCCATATATAAATGTCACATTTCAACGTTTTACGTCTATGTGTCAAGAATGTCAATATGGTGTTCCTTCTAGTTGCATTTGTTCATTTGGTCCTAATAAGGCATTGTTCTATGAATGCAAATTATGGCTAATGTCTTGTTGACAAAGGAAGATTCCTAATTTTATACTTCTCTTTCTTAATGTTGAAGTCCAAACTGAAATGCATGAATGCCCTATTTTTTTTGTTTTGTATTATTAAAAATTCATTGATTACATCAAAATGCTATTTCTAACATTATATTCTATAATTTTCTTAAACAGTAGAACCTTCAGGAACGACAGCTACATTTGTGATTATAGATGGCTGGGCTGTAACAGTAGCAGCAGTAGGTGATTCACGCTGTATTCTTGAATCTGCTGATGGTTCACTTTACCTTTTGTCAGCAGATCACAGGCTGGATGTAAATAAAGAGGAGTGAGTTCATTTTACTTCTATTTTATTTATTTGATTTGGTAAGAAGTTACACTAATGTGTATGATGTATGTTCTTATAGGGTCGAACGTGTTACTGCATGTGGGGGTGAGGTTGGAAGACTGTATCTTGCCTGTGGGGCAGAGGTACGCTTCTATTCATTTGACAGTAAATCTTTGTCCTCAATTCAAGTAAGACTTATTTTTGCATTTTTGGTAGTTTATATTTTCATTCGATAATAATTTTTCAATGAAATTATGCTAAATTTTTTTCATTCTGTTTTGGGATTGTGTTAAATGATTGTGATAATTGTGCATTACAATCATGTGTGCTGGGGAGGCTGAAGGCACTGTTAGTGTCAAATTAATTCTTAAATTAAGGGGCTATTTGGCATCATTTTTTATTTTTATTTTTAATTTTTATTTTATTTTATTATGTTCTTACTAAAAATAAAATATGTTTGGTTTGTTATAACTCATTTAGTTGTTTTTAAAAATATTGAAAATAATGTTTAACTGATTTTAAAAACAAATTAATTTTTTTAAAACTAAAAATAAAAATATACAAAAACTGTATTAAACTAAAATGTTTTAAAATTGAAGCAACAACAACAACAATAACAACAATAAGCCTTTATCCCACTAAATGGGGTCGGCTACATGAATCCTTTCTCCATTGTGTCCTATAGAGTGTCATATTTTCTTTTAATTATAATAAATTACGATCATTTTTAATACAATATGCCCAATTCTTTCAGGTCTACCTCTGCCTTTCTTAACATAAGTTAAATCTAAAACATCTACTCTCCTAACCGGACCACCGGATGGTCGACGTTTAATAGACCAAACCATCTATGACAGCTCTCTCTAATTTTGTTCGCCACTAGAGCTACACCAACCCTATCACAGATATATTCATTTCGCATTTTTTATCGTAGTGTAAACCACTCAACTACCTAAGCATTCTCATCTCGACAACACTTAACTTAGTTTTATGCTTCTCTTTTAAAGACCAACATTCTGCGCCATCTACCATCTTATAAAATTTTCCTTTCAGTCTAAGAGGTACTTTTCTATCACACAATAGACCCTAAGCATTCCTAAGCATTCCTAAGCATTCCTCCACTTTAACCAACCAACTTGAATTCTACTAATAACATCCCAATATATATCACCATGACTTTGAACAATAGACCTAAGATATCTAAAGCGTTCACACCTTTTAATAATTTGATCACCTATAGTTACAACTCTATCACTCGAGCTACTACTATTAAAATTACATTCCATGCATTCAATTTTAGTTCTACTCAAACGAAAACCTTTGGAATTCAAAGTAGACCTCCATCATTAAAGTTTAGCTCTTTCTGTAGTCTTATCCACAAGAAGGATATCATCAACGAAAAGCATACATTGAGGTACATCCTTCTATAAATGTCCAGTAAGAGCATCCATAATTAAAGCAAAAGATATGAGCTTAAAGCCGATCCCTGATGTAATCCAACTGAATTAGAAAAATATTTGAACAGTCCTCCTTCTGTTCGAACACAAGTAACGACTCTAGTATACATATCTTTAATGACTTGAATAAGAGTTATATCAACACCTTTCTTTCTAGAACTCTCCAAAGGATATCTCTTGGAACCTTATTGTAAGATTTTTCCAATCAATAAAAATCATATGTAGATCATCCTTATTCTCTTTCTACTTCTCCATCAAACCTCAATAAATGTATAACTTCCATAGTAGACTTGTCCGAAATAAATCCAAACTGATCATGAGAAATCTTTGTAATACATCTTAACCTATTTTCAGTTACCCTCTCCCATAGTGTTAAAGTATGAAACATCAACTTAATTCTTCTATAATTTGTACAATCATGTGCATCCTCTTCATTCCTAAAAATTGGGACCAAAATACTCTTCCTCCACTCCTTAGGCATCTTTTTAGTTTTTAAAATAATATTAAAGAGTTAGTAAGCCAAGCTGCTTCCAAATCTCCTAAATATTTGTACACTTGAATTGGGATATCATTAGGTCATACAGACTTTCCACTCTTTATTTTCTTTAAAATCTCCTCAACTTCTTTTTTGTTAATGTGACCGTAAAAATGAAATATTTTATTATTATTAACAATCTTAAGATCACTAAGGTTGATCATATTTTTATAAACTTCATTGAAAAGTTTATCAAAATAACTCACCCACCTATGTTAAATATTTTTTTCTAAGAAAAATACTTTTTGATTTTCATCTTTAATATACTTTACCTGAGTTAAATTTTTACTTTTCTTTTCTCTTTGTTTGGCTAATTTATACATATATTTTTCACTAGTTTTAGTATATTTTTTCACTAGTTTTAGTATCTATCTATTATAAAAATCACTAAAAATAAAATTTTTAGTGTTAAAGATTGTTTTTCTAGACTCCCTATGGGTCATTTTATATTTTTCTTACTTCTCTAAGTTTTTATATTTAAACCAATTTTTGCAACATAACTTCTTATATTTTATCTTTCCATGCATATTATTATTCCACTACCAACTATTTTTATTTATATAAATTTTTTATTTTGATTCTTCAAGTATATCTTTTGCCATTTGTTTAATAGTGTTTGTTACTTTAGCTCCTAAAGATTGTTTTTCTAGACTCCCTATGGGTCATTTTATATTTTTCTTACTTCTCTAAGTTTTTATATTTAAACCAATTTTTGCAACATAACTTCTTATATTTTATCTTTCCATGCATATTATTATTCCACTACCAACTATTTTTATTTATATAAATTTTTTATTTTGATTCTTCAAGTATATCTTTTGCCATTTGTTTAATAGTGTTTGTTACTTTAGCTCCCATAAAATTTACTTCATGAATATCCCAAATTTTGAAATCTTGAAGTTTACTCATAAAAATAATTTTTTTTGTGTCTTTTTGGTGCCCCTATCTAATTTTATGATTACGAATCCTAATATTCTTTATATTACAACTTCCATCTTAAAATTCAAAACTAATAATCGATGTTGAGACTTAAATTTTCACTTGGTATGACTTTGCAATCTCAACATTCTTGACGATCTGTTCTTCTCATTAGAACAATTTGTGCTTTATTAGATCTATTATTCTAAGTAATAATATGCTCCTCTCTTTTTTTGAATAGTTACCAATAACAAAATCATACACTAAAGCAAAATCTAATATGACTCTACCTTCTTCATTAATCACTTTAAAATCGTAGCCACCATGAATATTTCTAAAACTTTTACAAGTCCACCTACATGTCCATTTAAATCTCCTCCAATAAAAATTCTTTCTTCAAGAGGTATAATTTGTATTAATTATTCTAGGTCATTCTAGAATTTTTCTTTAGAACTTATATCTAAACTTATTTGAGGAGCATAAATACTAATAATATTAAAAATTTTAGTATCAACAACAATCTTAAAGACTATAATTCTATCTCCAATTCTATTAATTTTTATAACATTTTCTTTCAAACTCTTATACTTTGAAACTCTTATCTATAATTACACCTACACCATTTCTAGTACGACTCTTACATAAATACCAAAATTTAAGATCAAGCTATCAATCTCCTTAGCCTTTTCATTAATTTATTTAGTTTCTTGAATACATAAGATATTTATCTTTCTATGAATCATAATATCAACTAATTCAATTAATTTATCTGTGAGAGTATCTTTATTCAAAGATCCTATGATAATATTAGTTTTATGGAGTAACTTCTTTACCCATATTGATCCGTAATGTGGGAACCCTTTGCTTATTTAACACTACACCCAGACGCCAGTGTAGCGGTGCTCGCACACTTTTCACTTTCGTAATGTGGGAACCCCTTGCTTATTTAACACTACACCCGGACGCCAGTGTAGCGGTGCTCGCACACTTTTCACTTTATTCAGGCCATACAACATGTATCTTCCATGGAACACTCTAGCATTTACACAATGATCAAAGGATTTATGTCATGATTTTTCGACAAATTTTATGCTGGCTGTCGGCTACTTAACTCAATCTTTCGCTTTTCACATCCTTGGCTTGGGACCCGACAATAGCAGTGTTAAAATAGAGACAAAAAACACAAATAAAAAACAAAAAATAAAGGTGATCTCAAACACCCTAAGTTTTTTAAAGTGCCTGGTTGGTTGGCCAACTCTTGTAATACAGAGGGCTCTATGGATTGTCCTAGCTATGGTTGTTAGGTAGACTGAATTTTTTTTTCTATAAAGTAGGGGTTTTTTTCTTGACCATAGAGAAGAAGGTCATTAATTGCTTGAAGTACAAAACAAAACCAAAAGTCTCATTTCATATTATGAGGTTTTTTTTTTTGTAAATTGTTAAAAAGGAGATGCTGAAAAAGCTGGGAGTGGCCTATTTTTATACTTGTTAGATACTTGAATGTTAAATAAAAAAAATCACTTATTTGTGTCCTTTGTTTATGTGACAATGGATGCAGCTTCTTTTTTATGAACACAATTGAACAAATAAGATCTTAAACACATTTTCCTACTATAGAAACCGACTGAAAATCTTTGATGAGAGAGGTTGGAAAGGAAGTGAGAAGATAGGGTGGGAGGGAGACCAGATCAGCTAACCCCAAGTAGATAATTACTTTATATTTAGTTATTAGTTTTTTTGGCATTTTTCCTTCTCTGCTCATTTGTTTATCATGGTGGGAAAACAGATGGAGCTTTGTTAGTGCAACTAACCTGGATTTTCCTCTTTTTCTTTGAGGCAATAAGTTAAATTTTGTAGTTTGTTAACTCAAAAATTGAAATGAGGCGACCATTCTAACTGTTTTTAACAACTTTTTATGAACTTCCCAATTTCTGCCTCTTTCTGTGTGATGGTTTTGTTGGGAAATTGGTGAAGCCTTTTCCAAACTTCTAGAACAAAAGGTACAAAAAAAGAAAAAAACAAGATTGATTCTCCAAATTTTGTATGTGTTCACCAAATTGATGGCTACATTATAGCGCTGCTTGCTGTATATTTCACTATAATTAATATTGGAGAATTACAGTCTTATAGCCATAATTTTTTTTTTTGACAGACATACAAGACATGATCCCCTCTTTATGAAGAAAAATTTAGGGAAGCTGAAGTATAATAAAATTCTAAAAGCCTTTAATGAAATAATTGCAAATATTGAAACCACAAAGGTCCGACAAAATTTGCATATTGGATTTTATTCCGAGGGAAAAATGATGCTCCACAATTTAACAAACTTTGCTAACCAGTGTTAATTATGAGTTCATGATAATTGGGTTGAAGGAAGCTGATTTTTGTGACCATTTAGGTTAAACATGGTGACTTTTATTTTTCTAAATACCTGTACTTCCTACTTCCTCTTTGATTTTGTTTTGACTACAGGGGCGGCTGCAGGGACTGGAAATTTTGGGATTTATATGCATAGCTTATAAGCCATTTTTTTCATCATTTTCCTTAAATAGTTGGATCTAGTTCATGGTAGCTTCAAAAATTGCTTTATTACTGACAGTAAAATTTACTGATATTGATTTAATGAAATGTTATTCCAGATTGGACCTCTCAGGTGTTGGCCAGGTGGCTTGTGTCTCTCAAGGTCAATTGGTGACGTGGATGTTGGTGAATTTATTGTTCCTATTCCTCATGTGAAGCAAGTGATGGTAAGCGACTAAGCGAAGTAGATGGAAACAAGGTTTTAAAGTAAAGTTCCCATTCCTATAGTTTAAACAGTTTGTCAGTTTCGGGATTGAATTTTGGATATTTTTCATCAATAGATATTTCAAAATGCATATTTAAGATATAAAATAAAGAGGATTATGAAATTTTATGAGGCCTTAATAATAGAATTCAAATAAAATTTTGGCAACTGAAAAGAGTTTTTGTTAAATTCAGTGTATGATGTATCAGTTTTCGATAAAACTCTTAGAGTTTTTTCTGAAATTTTTGTGAAAACTCTTTGATTTTTTGCCTAAATTATGAGTGAAACTTTTGCTTTATTTTGTCCATTGCTTACAGATGAATATTATATATATATATATAAGAAATGAAATTGTCTTCTACCTGATGGTGACTGATTATTTTCCTACCAGTTTTTTCGCATCTGGTGCTTTATATAATTATATATTTTTTAAGCTCTTGGTCACATAATGGCTTTCATTCTACAATATAAAAATTACGTGCCAATTGAGGTTTATTAATTTTTATTATGATCTAACCATTCATCATATGGAGAATACAAGGACAATTAAATGAAATATAGAAGGCTTTCTATATGTATGGTTTTTTCAACGAGATATATACACACACACACATATATATGTATATATATATATATATATATATATATATATATATATATATGAACTTGAGCCTCATAACCAAATCATATAACGGGAAAACACATTGACTTGAGAGATTTGAAATAAAACAGTTGAGCAAAAGCGCACAATACAAGATATTAAAAAAGATACGAGATTTAACGTGAAAAAACCTGAGAATAGGGAAAAAAACTATTGAGTTGCACCATACAAAATATTTTTATGAAAGAGGAGAAATATATAGATTACACTACACTCAGAGTTTCTCTATACAAGCCTGAGACTCACGAAGTCTCTTCCCTCTCGGTCGCAAAAGAGCAAACTGTATAAATCCAATAAAAGACTTGTTGGACCACTTGCTCTGTGTGGCTCTTGTTTCACGTATCACCGAGAGATACATTCCTTTTAAAGAAGTCACAGACTTAAATCCAAATACAAAGAGAAATCACTCTTGGCACTGGAGCGCCACTTTTAGGTGCTGCCTTTCTACGCGCTTTGGAGTTGTTCTTTTGGACGCTAGATCACCCATTTTGAGCGTCGAGTTTTTGGTCTCTATGTTTGCTTCTAGGTGCTGGAATTCCGAATGCTTTGTTCTGTAGAGTTATGAGCAATAAGGTGGGCGCTTGGGCGCCATTTCCAGCATCGGACTTCTAAATGGAATTTGGCCCCGTAGGCGTCCCAAAATTGGGGCGCCTAATCTGGCAGAGGAATTCCATTGAAATTTATCTCATTATCACTCCAAATTTCTTCAAGTACATTGAAAGGTACTAAAGGATCATTTTTTATCAGATAAACTACAATGTTTACTGTTTTTGCCCATAACTACATTGACAAGCTTGCATGGAACCACATACTCCTGGCAGGCAGTGGAATGGTTCCATTCATGCCCTTAACCACACAATTCTGTTGTGTTGTTATTGAAATAGTGAATTCATGCATTATCCCTTCTAAAGTATGATAACTCTCAAACCTCTGATCACAATACTTACCGCAATTATCTGATTTGAGACATTTCAACTTCAATACTGTCTCATTTTCTGCTATGAGCCTTTCACTTCTTAAACACCCCAAATATATCAGAATTATGCTTTAAGAAGTAAACCTATACTTTTCTAGTGTGATCATCTATAAAAATGACAAAATAATGAGAACCTCAAATGAATTGATCTGGAGTAGGATGCCATACACCAGTATGCACTAACTTCAACTTCTTGGGCTTCACCAGTGATCCACTTTTGAGGGAAAAAAAAATTATTTTGCTTGACATATATACAGTCTTCACAAAAATCTAGATCTATATATTTTAAATTTTAAAGCTTGTTCTTAGAAAGTAGGGACTTCATATATTTTTCACTTATATGATCATGTCTATGGTGCCAAAGACCTGCATCAACCTTTGTATTAGTCACATTAATGGAATATGCCATTTCATTGATCAGGTAAATATTGCCTTTAATTTTGCCCCGAACCATCATTATTGCCCTCATTGTCACCTACCACGAATCATCTAAGAATGTAGTGACATACCCTGACCTTCAAGCTATCACACCCCAACTAGCCTCTCTTAGAGGTGGATGATTCGACCAGACTAAATTTTCACCAGCACTCGTTCTGAGTTGTAGAATCGGGACCCAGTAGGTGATGAATCATTCTAATTAAATCTCCAGAAATGTACTTGAGATATTCATTTTATAAATAATTCACATTCACATATAATCAAAAGCATGAAAAATCATCACTGAAACATATATATATATATATATATATATAGTGGATGTTGGT